TTGAAAAAGCATTTGACAAAGTAAGACATGAAAAATTAGTCCAAATTCTAAAGACAAAAAACATAGACCATAGACACTTACGAATAATAACAAACCTCTACCGGAATCAAAGAGCTCAAATCGTAATGGATAACGAATTCAGTCCAGAAATTGAAATCAGGAGAGGAGTTAGGCAGGGGTGTATTATGTCCCCATTACTATTTAATATATATAGTGGAGCCATTTTTGAAGAAGCATTACTATCAAAGTAAAGGAATAATAATTAACGGAAGATCTATTAACAACATAAGATATGCAGATGACACCGTGATTATGGCAAGCTCTGCTGAACAACTCCAACTACTGCTAAACAAAACAAACAGTTTCTGTGAAAAATATGGACTAAAAATGAATATAAAAACGACCAAATACATGATAATAACAAAGAAAACAAATATACCAACAAACATACATTTGGGAAATGTGGATTTCAGACAACCGAAATAAGAGCCAGGATAGAAATAATTCTCTAATAAACAATTCTCTGCAACAAAGACCTTAAATTAGAACTGAGAGTAAGAGCACTGCGATGCTACATGTTTTCGATACTGCAATATGGACTTGAAAACTGGACATTAAAGCAAGAACACATAAATAAGTTACAGTCCTTTGAAATGTGGTGTTACAGGATGATGCTTAGAATAGCATGGACACAGAAGAAAACTAACACGAAAGTATTGCGAGAAATGCGCAAAGAATGCGAAATAATAAACACAATAAAAATAAGAAAGTTACAATATTTGGGACACGTACTGAGGGAACACCGATATGAACTGCTAAGGCTAATAATACAGGGAAAGATAGGAGGAAGGAGTATAAGAAGAAGGAGAGTATCATGGATGAAGAATTTAAGGGACTATAGATGAGAGTATCCAACCTCCTATTGGGAGACGGCACTTAAAGAAGAAGAACAAACAACCTTCTGGAGACATTTCTACAAAAATCCAAGCTCCCACTCACTTCAATGAACTCAAATAAATCCCGACTTGGCTATTTGTAAATAGAATGCTTTATTATGTTTAATTTATGGAAATAAACTTGTTGGCATTAGTAAATTTACTTCCAACAAATATAGATACTCCACACATATAGATCAATGACATCCAACCATATCATATATGGGATTTAAAAAACATTAAAAAATGTATGTAAAAAATATCTATTTTATATATTCTTTAAGAAATACAATTGTATTTTTAATATAATTATGTTTTGATTCTTTATTAAAAAATTGATTTTAATATATGCAAATTCCCTATTATATCATTTGATGGGTCATAAAATAGTTAACAAAGGTAAGTTGTCAATTTTTTGGTAAGTTGTAGATAATTTTTATTAATTTAAAAAAAATCAAGATGACTAAAAACCATTAGGGTTTTTTAATAAAAATCAGAATAAATGACAAGTATTAATCCCCCTCAAGTTTGTCAAGTTCTCCAATTACAATGTGGCGCAGAGAGTCAAACAGTTACAAGCGCCTGTATGGAAAGCGAGACGTCCATACCGCAATAAGCCAGTCTAACCCAAGGACACTAGTAGACACAGATAGGATTGATTTTGTCCTTTGCTCCAATGTAAGAAATGCGTTGGGTTGAGTGTGACGTAGGCGTGGGGATTCGTGGTTGACATTTCTTATTGTTTTATATAGAATAGTTGTGCCCGCTGGCAATTTTTTTGTTTTACTAGCGATTTAACGGCCTTATAAGACTATTTAATTATTGTTTCTATATCAATTTACTTGTATAAACAAAAAGGGTGGTAATAGATGTGCCATATATGGTTGTGACAATAATTTTAAGAGTGTGAAACCCAAGATTATGCGTATTAATTTTTCACAGTTTTCCAAAAGGAAAGGATTTAGTGTCGAAACCTATAAGGGCTTAATAGGTTAACTGATGCAGAAGAGCTGATAATTTTAATTCTGATTCTAGTAGAATATGCTCTGTTCATTTTACAAACAATGACTATGAAAGAGATCTTCAAAATGAATTATTAGGTAAAATGATTAAGCAATAAAATGCCTATAAAATTTTTTAACGTAACTTATTTTACGTTTACCTACTAAACGCCTTTTAAACAAAACTGCAGTTTCAACACTTTGTATAAATATACCTTTGACACACCTTCTGTCTCTACTCATGAAGGTAGATTAGATGTTATAAACAAAAAGCAACTTGTGGCAGAAATTACAAAGGTTTGGTCAAATATTTTGAATATTGCATCTAATCAACATGAATATACTATTACTGAATCTGAAATAATTTTTGAACAAGCTGATGACAATATCGATTTAAAGCCTGAAGTACCCCCTCTGTGGCTCAGTGGTAAGAGCGCCTGCCTTTAAACCTAAAGGTCGTGAGTTCGAATCCCACCTGGGTGGAAATTTTCGTTTATTAAAAAAATTAATAAATGAAAATAATTTCTATCCTTGTGTGATCGGTACACACCGGAGGGACCGCAGACGTTCGGATACAATTAGCGTCTCTTAGCAAAGAAAATGACGTCGACTTTGCTAAGTATCAAGACAATTACTCTACACACACACACACACACACACACGCACACACGCACACACGCACACACGCACACACACACACACACACGCACACACACGCACACACACACACACACACACACACACACACACACACACACACACACACACGCACACACGCACACACGCACACACGCACACACGCACACACGCACACACGCACACACGCACACACGCACACACGCACACACGCACACACGCACACACGCACACACGCACACACGCACACACACACACACACACACACACACACACACACACACACACACACACACACACACCACACACACACACTACACCTCAAATTGTAAGATTGGCAAATGGATTTAGTGTCCGCAGTCATTTAAACACAAACAAACAACAACAACAAGCCTGAAGTAGATTTTGAAGCAAAATATAACTAATTATTAAACAAGTATGAAAGGTAATTTAACATGCAAAGTTAGTAAACATAGTTATAGTTTACCATCATAGGTGCATCAACTCTCTTATGAAGGTCTTATTAAGCCTACAGATGAGTGGTCCATAAAAATAAAATTATGGAATAAATATTATGAAAAATATATTGATACCTATAGGAAAAATAATGGAGTTGTTGGAAACATTTCAAAAATGATTAAAAAAAAAAGAAAAAGTGTTGCCATATGGGCTTAATTAAAACTTTTGTATACTTATAACAATAATTAAAATAAATTATAGAAATTTAAAATCCAGGAAAGCTGAAACTTTTAAGCGAAAAAACTTATCCGTGATGGATTCAACTAAGTCAAACATTAGAAAACTAAATAAAATTGGTCCATAGGGAATGTTTCTAAAGTTTCCTAGTATTGTATACTGTTTAGTTTTACCTATATGTATGTATGTATGTTTACGAAATAAATAGTTCAGTATTGAATAGTTTTAGAAAAAGAAATATTTACTTTGAGAGTAAACTGACATTTATTAATTTAATTATAACACTAGCAAATGCATTAATTTCGAAAATAAATTTTATTTGCCATGTAAAACAGATCGTTTATGTCTAAATGTCTTAGTAACTGTTAAAAATCTGATTATCTGCCATTTATTTACAAAAACAAAACGTAAATTTTTCGTTTTAACCTTTTTAATCTCAAATTAGGCTCATCTTCGGTAAAAATTAATAGTAACAATAAGGTCGATAATTGCTCGTCATCCCCACACCTACGTCACAGCCGCGTGTTGCAGTGACAGACAAATTTGGGCGATGGAACTATCCTATGTAGTCAACTGTTCTTGAGTCTAACCAGCCGTATTAGATGTTCCATGTTCCACATCAAAAAGCGATAAGAAACCGCAAGCTACCTTTGGACAAAAATACTCAGACACAAGAGTAGTATAGCAGACGGGGTTCAAACCCACTTTGGTAACCTGTCCTTCAGGGTCTCAGATGCTGAGGACGATACAAGCCTTCTTTGACCTTGGGGGTGTACAAGAAGTACAAGAAGTGATCGTCAATGACCAGAGGGTTGTAAGAATTGGTAGCTTATCTCTAGATCTCTTCTTCTCAGCCGAAGAAGTGTCACCTGTATATTTTTCACCTGTCTGACCTGTCTCTTCTTTGTCTTACCTGTCCTAAAGAAGTAAAAGAAGCGGTCTACAATGACAGTAGACCACCTTGTATGTGAAGTGTAAAACTCATCGCTAATCTTTAGATCTCCTCTTCTTTTCGATAAATTTGTACAGGGTGATCTAATTTGTACTGAGAGATTGTCTAAGTGTTGGTGAGTCTCAAAAAATAAATTGTTTGTGTACAGACTTGTGTAGACGTATCGGTCTAGCCTAGCCTTGACTAGCCTAGCCTTGACTAGCCTAGCCTTGACTAGCCTAGCCTTGACTAGCCTAGCCTATTCAATTGCGTTTGTACTCTTAAAACTTGTAGAAATTGTAATCCTAGAGGTTCCATATAGGTATACATATTTTCGAAGTGTTGTAATAACATCTTGGATTACTTTATCTCTACATGTTTACATTTATTAAACTAACTGAAGGAAAAAAAAACAACGTACCAAATCTAAAAATTTATTTATACAAGATTACAATTCATAATATTGGTAAATCGCTTAGAAATATAACTACTGATAAGATGTATTATTTGAAAAAATCCACCAAAATAAAACAACGTACAAAATCTAAAAATTTATTTATACAAGATTACATAATTCATAATATTGGTAAATCGCTTAGAAATATAACTACTGATAAGATGTATTATTTGAAAAAATCCACCAAAATTTGAATAAATGTAGCCACCAAAATTTGAATAGTGTAGCCACCAAAATTTTGGTAGTCAGTATTTCAAGCTATTCAAGTGTAAGAACATCTTGGAATACTTTATCTCTACATATTTACATTTACTAAAGTAACTGAAGGAAAAAAAACAACGTACAAAATCTAAAAATTTATTTATACAAGATTACAATTCATAATATTGGTAAATCGCTATGTCATTCCATAAGTTTGTTTTCACATCTTGCCAATAGGACAACGTCACCTGATCAATGTAGCCTAACCAAATTAATGCATCTCTGTGCAGTGGATGGTCATCTGGTATCTGGATATTGTAACTGCTTTTATAGTTAAACACCTTCTCTGATAATATTTCTTCTTTAATTTTGAGAACTCCCATACCCGACGCTGGTATCGGTAGGTGGATTAAAGGCTGGAATTAAAACAAAAAATTAATCAATGATAAATAAATCATTCTCACCAGTGTTTATAAAAAAAAATCTAAAAGTTTATTTCTATTATATAATTACATAGCAAGTTTTTTGTGTCGCTCTCTCTCAGACTGTCGAAATTTTTCTTTTTGTCTCTTCGACAGCTTCGGAGGTTGCTCCCTAATTATATTCTTTGATATGGCTGCCTGTTTGATATATTGTAAGGGTGATTCATAGTACTCGTTATCCCAATTTTCTTCACCACTTACAATCTGTTGGGGTTGGCACTCGTTATTCCATTTGTTGTCATCACCCCCCTGTTGAGACTCCAAGTGTAGGTACTTGTACCTACGCTTGATGTGTTCTAGTGGGGATTCCTGGTACTCGTTATCCCAATTTTCTTCACACACTAGCGATAGGTGGATTGGGGGCTAAAAAAAAAAATTAATCAATGATAAATAAATTTATCTTACCAGAATACCTTTTATGAATCAGACATAGTTTTATAACAATACAATGTAGGTTCAGTGTCCCTGTGGACTTCTAAGGATCTTTTACAGAAACAAAAAAATTTCTTGCAATCAAAACATGGTAATGTTCCATATATTTTGTTGTCCCAGAATAATGTAGGTAGAGTTTGAGGTTTTATGTTTTTCTCAGTCTTAAATTGTAAGTTCATAAATCGTTTTTGGTCTTTAAAAACTGCCTCCCATTTATTTAGATCAGACTGAAATAAAGAGTTTTATTTCAAAATATATTTTATCAATATAGTATAGTTATGCCTACCTGCATAATTTCATTGTTAGTTCTGGGTGGCTGTAGATTAATTAAAAAACGATTTACAAAACTTTATAAAATAATACTATTATTTATCATTGAAACCCCATGGAAGAGTATCAGTGGATAAATAATTTATTATTCTCTTATCATCGTATGGACTGAGTGCTACCTTTGTTTGAGACATTGTATATACATCATGCTTTTTCAAAATTATTGAATGTTGGGAAATTTCTACTACTATTTTATTAAATAAACTTGCATAATAGTCGTTATAGGACAGTTCTGATAATGCTGATTTTTTTATTCCTTTAGCCTTTTTTATTTCCTCATTCTTATTTAAAATTTTCATAGTGTACATTTTCGAACGTAATCCTATAAAATGTGTCATCAATTCCCCTTGGTTCTCATCTTTCATTAGACCTAACACTTTTTTATTCTTTAATGGAATATTATATACATTATTCTCTTTGTATTCTGATGTATCAAATTTGTCAATGTCTTCTCTATGTTTATATATATCGTCAACAAAAAACTGATATATTAAACTATCTGTATCTGTATATAATAATTTTGCGTGATCTCTAAATTTGTTTATGACATAATTATAATGAAAGTCATATAGAATGGTTTTGGAAATATCTAAAATACACGTCCCTTTATATATATTGGTTTATTAAAATTGACTTTTTGTTTTGTCATTTCAATTATTACAGTACTGTCATCGAAAATAGTACAACTATGAAAATTAGGTTGGGAAATATAGAAATTTGCTCCATATCTTCCATTATATTTGTTGACGATATGGATTTGCCTATGTCGCCTGGGGTCCTCTATACTTTTACCATATGGGGCATTTATGAACAATTTATATAGGTTTTTTTCAAATTCATTTTTACTCTCCTTACGCAAGGCAATGTTTAAATCGATATATTTTTTTAACCAAGGGGATTGTTTAAATTTTAAACAGCGATGAATTTTTGTTATTTTTAAACCCAACTTAACAATCTGTTTCAAATATATATAATGAATAACATATTTTTTTTATCGTACAATGTGGTTAACAATTTGGGAATTGTTGAATTAGAAGATGGTGGGACCATGAGAGTGGAATTATTAATTTAGACAATAAAGACGGACCTGGAACACATTGGACAGCTTACAAGAAGAATAAATCCAAAGTTGTGTACTTTAATAGTTTTGGCAATCTGAGACCACCGTTAGAAGCTATATCATACTTTAATTCAAATGGTTATTGTCAAATTGTATATAATCATAAAATTTATCAAACTTATAACACTGTAAATTGTGGACAATTGTGTTTAGATTTTTTAAATAAATAGTTCGTTTAAAATATTTGTTTTTTATTTACTTTCTGGTTATTGCATGATCAACATGTCGTACACTTTTGTGTTATCTGGAAGAGAATCAGTGTTATCAACCAAAATATATCCTCCAATTATTTTAAATGAAAATGAACAGTATGTACTAGGTTTAATAGATTTTATGTCATACAATACAATTCCAAATGTAGACCAAACAAACAACAAGTTTCATATAGATGGTTACGATATCACAATTCCAGAAGGTTCATGTGAGGTGAAAGATCTTTAAAGTTATTTAACTGAAAAAATAACCGAGTTGGAATTAAAATTATATCGAACACCTGAAAAAGATGAGACAGACATTGATAAAAATACAAAAGGAGAGAAGCAAAATTTAGTTACTCAAGGAGGAAACGCAAAAGCTAGAAAACAGCATAATATGGATCAACCTACAAGTCTAATAATGAGAATTAATAACAATACACTCAAATGTGAAATAAAAAGCAACAAAGTAATCCATTTTGAAAAACTAAATACCATTGCTCCCTTATTAGGCTTTACATCAAAACGACTCTCACCTCTAAAGACTCACGTAGCTGAAAATCCTGTGCATATTTCAAAGGTGAATTCAATTTGTGTAGAATGTAATCTAATCACTAATTCATACGTCAATGAAAATCAAGGTCATATTATTTACATGTTTTATCCAAATGTCTTACCAGGTTACAAAATTGTTGAAATTCCAAAAAAAGTAATTTATTTACCTGTCACCAATAGATATATTGATGAAATTTTCATTAAAATAGTCGACCAAGATGGTAATCTTGTCAATTTCACACGAGAAGTTATTACGTTAAGACTACATTTAAAAAAAGTATAAATAATGGTTGTTATATACAACTGTAGTAAATTTAATCCAAGTGTGGACGGTGTATATAATATTAAAAGTTTTGATAAAAACATTAGCGATAAGCAGACGCTCAAGCCGTTAACAATAGAAAACAAAGTCTTTTTAACCTCACTAGGATTTAAAATAAAACATAACAATAACAACGACAGTAACAAGGAAAAAGAAAAGAAATACGTGGTGTAGAATAAAGTTGTTTATTAATACTAGAATACTTGGCATTTTCCTGAGGTGTACTTGTAAGAAAAGTGAATATGAGTTTTAACATTTTAAATATTGCAGATCGTGTGTTGGTTGACAATTCAATTGTTAGTCGAGAAATGCACAGTCATTTACCCTATGCTAATGCCACTTTTAATCACTGTGATGAAATAAGATTGCCAATACAAACTCAAGATATATATATACACAACCTTCTGAGAGTTATTTGTATATTGAAGGACGTTTAACGAATGATGGGAAAGAAAGCAATACTTTACACTTTGTTAATAATGGTTTGATGCATTTATTTGATGAAATACGATATGAAATTGGAGGCTGTGTAATAGATAGAGTGAGAAATGTAGGTATAACAACGACAATCAAAAACTATGTTTCGTTCACACAAACTGAATCTAATCGATACAACTGTATAGGTTGGAGTATTACTGACACACCAACTGTTGCTGATAAATCAGGAAATTTTAATGTTTGCATTCCACTCAAACTTGTACTTGGGTTTTTTGAAGATTTCATCAAAATTCTAATTAACATACGCCAAGAACTCGTATTGATAAGAAGTTCAACAGATTTAAATGCAGTAATGTCGACAGTAGAAACTGAAAAACCAAAAGTGGAAATATTTAAATTAATGTGGAAAATGCCTCATATTCAAGTGTCCGATTCAGAAAAATTACGCTTATTTAAATTTATTGAAAATGGATCCAATTTAGAGCTTGCATATAGAAGCTGGGAATATCATGAAATTCCTCTACTTTCTCAGACAATGAAATTTAACTGGAATGTAAAAACTACCAGCCTGTTAGAGAGACCACGATTTGTTTTGTTTGCATTACAAACTGGTAAAAAGAATGCAATAAAAGAAGACAACAGCTATTTTGATCACTGTTTTATTACAAACTTAAAACTATTCCTAAATTCTGAAATGTACCCGTATGACAATTTAAACTTGAACTTTAGTAAAAGACAGTATGCCATTGCATATGAAATGTACGCACAATTTCAACCGTCGTACTATTACAAAGCTGTTGGTGATCCATCTCTAACTATGTTACAATTCTGTGCTGTTGCTTCTATATTTGTTATTGATTGCAGCAGACAAAATGAATCAGTTAAATTAGGAAGTGTTGATATGAGAATAGAAATAGAAACTACAAAGAATATACCAGCTAACACAACTGCCTATTGTATAATTATGCATCACCGTATTGTTAATTATAATCCTCTAACCAATGTCGTTCAAATGTTTTAACTGTAGTTCATCTAATGAAGTAAATCTGTATTGTGGGTTTTAGTATAAATAAAAAGTTAAAAAAAGTTTATTCTTATTTAACGTCCTGTACATAATAAATGTTTTCATAACCTTGTTGATGTTGAACATAAGTTGGGTTAGACTAGTACTGTACATTATAAGTTTGTTTGAAAGCTGTTCGATTCCTGATCAGAACCTGTTCAATACCTGTTCAATACCTGTTCAAACCTGTTCAATACCTGATTAGAACCTGTTCAAGACCCGATCAAGACCTGATCAAGACCTGTTCAATACCTGTTCAAGACCTGATCGAAAGCTGATTGATTGTATACTTAGATTGTACGATGAATAAAGATTTGAAAAGACAACTTATAACCAAACGCAGAAACATCCAAAGTAAATTAAGACAATTAAAACAAGGACAAATAATCCAAGAAGATTTATTTACTCCAATTACAAAACACTTGAAAAATATAGAGAATAAGTTAAATAGTTCACAAAATTCTAGTCCAGAAAATGAAACAAAAAACTATGAACCTTTAGGGTACATTAAAAAAGATGATAATGATGATGAAACTACTGACTTTAAAACAAGTGAAATCAAACAATCGATATTGGACAACATTGAAGTGGATGATATAAAAGAACAAATTAAAAATGATTCTGAAAATCGATTTGAAGATATTGCTAACCAAGCGCGTGCAGACTACTGGGATCAATATGATCCATTGCCTAAGAAATATATTACAAATATGCAAGCTGATGTTCTCAACAAAGAATTTGATCATAAATATGGAATTAGATTTGATGAAACATCAGAAAAGCTACTGATTGGAAATTCTGAAATAAATTTAGATGGTGCTGATATTATTTTAAAAAAGAAAGGTACAGGGGAACACAAGGTTTATATGAGCTTTTGTTTAAGAAATATCCAGCTAGTTTTACAGATGAAGATGAGACTAACTATAAAAAGATAGTTGTAGCGACGAATGCCCACCGAAGACATTACAGATCAAGTAAACAGATAGATGGTAGTAAACTAGAAAAATATAAAAAAATAATTGCTCCAATAGCAGAAGGCAAAGGAATGTTTATGAAAGTAAACAACAATCAAATAGATTTCGTCCACTGGGATGACCCAAACGAACTTGTAGACAGATTACGATTATTACTAGCATCACAGATAGCTGGACATACAGATTGTTGAAGAACTAAAAGAGGCAAACATTATAGACTAAATATGATGTCTGTTAAAAGAGATATCGTTAATGAGTTACACAAACCTGCAAGAATTAACTTTAAACGTCGAAGAATTATTGTAAAATCTCTGAATGATTTATTCCAAGCTGACTTGATTGATATGCAAAAGTATTCAAATACAAACAGAAATTTCAAATATATTTTGGTTGTAAATTTTTATGGGCTTTACCACTAAAAAATAAATCAGGTGTTGAAGTAGCCAAATGTATGGATTATGTGTTTAAACAACAAAAACCAAATAATCTTCAAACAGATATGGGAACTTAATTTTTTAATCCACATATGAAAAAATTGATGAAAAAATATAATATTAATCATTACAATGTATACAGTGAAAAAAAGGCTGCGATAGCTGAGCGAGTTATTCGCACGATTAAATCAATGATGTGGAAACAGTTTAGTTTCAATGGTAACTACAAATGGATTGATAATTTACAACAAGTTGTTATTGAATACAACAATAAAGTTCATAGAACAATAGGAATGAAACCAGTGGATGTTAAGAAAAAGCATGAAAAACTATTGTTACACACTGTATACAATCACATTAAAATAGTTAATTTGGAAAATCAAAAATTTCATATTGGTGATTATGTACGAATTTCAAAATATCGAGGAGTTTTTGACAAGAAATACAATCCAAATTGGTCTAATGAAATTTTCACTGTATATAAAATAATACTGGGAAACCCTATAACATACTATTTAAAAGACTATAAAGGTGAAGAAATTCTTGGAGGATTTTATAAGGAGCAGCTACAAATAGTTAAACATAAAGATAGTTATTTAGTTGAAAAGGTATTAAAGAGAAATAAAAATAAAATTTTTGTTAAGTGGTTATGTTTTGATAGTTCCCACAACTCATGGATAAATAAAAGTGACGCAATAGTACAGATAGTATTCGATCCAACTGATGCAATTGCAAAACATCATTTACCTCAAATGGAATTTACGATGAAAAAAGGAATGTTTATGTGTAAAAGCAGCGAAGATAGAAAAATGGTTGATATTTATCATAATTTTAAGAAAAGCAAATCGACGAAAGCATATTCTAAAGATGCTCCGCTACGTCTACTGGAAATACGAAAAAACATTTATATTACTGTAGCAAAGATCCTAGTAAATAAATAAAAATAATGTTTGTAGTTACTGTTTTCTTTATTTATAGCTTGGAACTAAAAACAAATGATTATTTATATTACCGAGATCTTAAACACTTACGTGATCAATGCCTATAAAAAAGGATAAAGAGTACAAGAATGTCTCATAAGGGCGAGAGAGAGAGATCAAGAATCATGGGTTTTTTTTTCACATATTTAAAGAAAATACTGGTACGTCTGTTACGTATATGGTGTCGAATAACTAATACGAAAGAAGCAAGATAGTATCAGTAGAGCCAACATAAAAAAAGCAATACTGCCAACTATGAAAAAAAAAATTACTAGAAAGTAAAAGATACTCTGTGCTAATTAGAATGGTGTAGGTACATATAACTAAAACACCATAGTTTAACTTAACCTGGTTACTTATCTTACAGGATAATGACACATCAGGTAATAATAGAGCTTTACGTCACGTTTTACGGCATAGGAAAAACTACAGAACAAGTAACAACAAAAGATACTAAGAAATGCAGAGACACATTTATAAACAACCATAGACGTAAGCACAGAACAGTAGAGACAAAATAGCTTTACATTACGCTTTTAAACCACAGAAGAACGACACAGCAGATAACACCGAAATAAACAGAGGTAGAAAGAGATCATCAAAGGTATATGCGCTAAAGAAAACTGAAGTTACGAGAGATAGGTAGACACTAACAGAACTATGTTGTCAGAAACATATCGAACATACATATATGCATACCTTGAACATATCTTGAACATACATATCACTTTATGCCTTAGATTTATATGAAACCAGACACCGCGCTGTCATCATCGAGTTAGTGTCTAGTCAGAGTCGTCTAAGTTCTGTTAGGATCAAGTCTGGCAGTACTCCTAGTCTAGTTAAAGACAAATCAAAGACATGTCAGCCTGCAGTCAGCAACAAGTCTGTCCGCACTCGACAACAAGACAGCATCCAGTCTGCTGCCCCGTCGGACACTAGTCAGCTGGTAATAATTATAGCTGTTAACTACAGAATCGACATTCAGTCGCAGGATGTTGAATAGAGAACAGCGTATTAAGCAGCTTGCTAAAATTATTGGAACAAAGTATAAAGCTCTCAAAAGAATGCAGAGTGATCAACAAGAACATCTCGAAACAATTTTCACACCTATAACAATTATCTGAAAACTACACATCAATCGGATAAGCATGAAGACACTAGCGACAATTATCAGAAAACTGGATATCAATCGGAGAAGCATGAAGACACTAGCGAACATCAAAACAATACAGAGCAGAGGGATGAAGTGAGATCTGAACACCTTCAAAAATATTGGCACCATTAGCCAGATATCGACCGAAGTTATGGGCCACAGTATGTTTGGACAACTGATAAATGGATAATGGGCGATAAGGAGATATAATTTACTCTTAAACATATATGGGTTAACAATAATCAGTATAAAGCTACAAGAAACGGCAAGACTTTACACCAAAAGATTGTATTAACTATAAAAAAAAAATATTAGAAGTCACAGGTATTCATCGAGATTCCCAAGGATATTTAAGACATCAAAAGTTCCCAGAAAAATTCAAGAAAATTATCATACCCATGTATGTTGAGAAAGAAAGAAGAATAAGGAAACCCTCCTCAAGACATTGTTTATCAACCAAAGACATGGGGCGGCTAAAGACGATTTCAAATGAAAACATTGAAGCGAAAACAACAAAACAGTATTTGGAAAGCAGCACAGCTAAAAACGAGTCAAAAATAAATCAGAGACAAAGTTTAGAAAGTGGACAGCTGTACGAGGAATTGAACAAAATATGGCTCCTCTATAATGAAAACAACGATCCGAATTTCCTAGTAGAGGGACTCATGCCGGATGCATTAAGTAGCCACAAAGCAACAATTAAAAATATGAGGTGCACCATACAATTTAGAAAAACGCGAGAAATAAAAAAAAACACATAAATCACAATTAGAAATAGGAAATAAAAAAGTAAAATATAGCACTATTCTGTTAATGTGTATTAAAGGAAAATGTTATAGGAAATAAAATTATATTTATAATTATTTAAAGAATAACTTACCTTATTTTCACTAATTAAAACTATATTCACTCACTATTTGCTTGTCTCGTGTACAATGTTTTACATACAAATACATGAAAAATATCTTTGTTATCAGCATGTTTTGAAGAACACTGAGGTTATCGTTATCGCGTGGCCTGTTTGTAACTACAATGATTATTAAAATAAAATATATAATATGTATTTTAAAATTTCTATACAAAAAATTTTAGGTCTTCGATTTTGGTAATTTTAAACGTAAATGGTCCGTATTCGATAGGATTCGTTTCACATTTCATCTTTAAGTACCCGGTCCATTGCGTACATTGACTATTAACATAGTAATTTTGATCTTGCTTTCAGAACTTCTGAATACTTCGACCGATGTGGGCCCCGAACCATTTCCACAGATTTTAGACCCATGAGTGTCTTCTCTTGCCTAACCCTCGCTTAATTGTAAATAATCAAATCCTAATAATCAAATGCTGTATTCATATTTGTCATATCCTGGTATATAGCCTAGATATTCAAGTTTAATTTGTTGAATCGTGTTCACTATTTCTTTATCTTTTCCGATGTAGATTACCTATATGTTGGTGCCATGTTCGGTAAAGAATGTGATGGTACACTTAAATCTCGATTTTTT